TGACGTGTTCAATACTTATTTTACCCGCTTTATATATATATATATATATATATGTTTGATCAATTTGTTAGAATTACAGTATGTACATGCCTAAAAGGAGCTTCCACTTGTTATTTTTTTCAATTCCATCTTCAATGTAGATGTCTTGAAAATTTTCACAAGTTGTCTAAAACGTCATAGTGTGACAGGGCCTTAATAAAATCTAACAATCTTATAATCAACCAAAAAATATTTTTGTGACTGACATTATAAACAAGATCAGACTTATTAATCCTGATGGCCTGAAAAGTTCTTTATTTCAAGAAGTCTTACCAAGTGCAACTGTCAAGCTGCACTGGTAGAATATTTATTATAAATCTGAAAAGATTCAGACAATGTTTTAAACTTGCTTTTAGATGGCTAATTTTTGCAGTGTGTAGTCAAAAATCAGTGTGTTTCAATAAATGTAGCTATTAAAATGTAACTATTCTTTTTTTCTCTGCTTTAAAATAGAGTAAATACCATCAGATTATTTGTAGAAAATAAAAAAGTTTTAAAAAATTTAGTTTCACCTATGTTTTACGTCTCAGAGCCTGTAAGGACAAAGCCATTATGCCAAGAGTGGGCCTGAATGCTAATATTAAAGAGTGACAGAAACAAAAAGTAAGAGACACAGAGGCAACACATTAGCTGCAATTTAGGTGCATTTTGCAATAAATCAAAGGGTTAGAAAAAACTGTGACATTTGTCCAACTTTGTGCAGTCCTACTATAAACTTTCAGTAAACAATAAAGTCAACAGTTTAATAACTTTGAGTGGAGTAAGACTGAAAGCACAGCTAGTCTCACTTTCTAACATTTATTTAAAAAACAAAAATGCACTAAATATACAAACTTTAACCACAACAGCATTTAGCCAATAGTTCCATAGACAAGACTGTAGCCGTGTTTCCATCCAATTTTAATTCGAATTTTGAGCGAATTTTTAAAAATTTGCAAAAAAGTAAAAATGAAAAAATGCGAATCAGACGTGTTTCCATCAACTGGCTTGAAGCGAATCAGTTACGTCAGACGCATGCGTGTAGTAAACAGGAAGTAAAAGTCGCATCTCAGGAAAATGGAGAGAAGTTATCAGGAACGTGTTGCTATTGTCGGGAAAGTTGTAATTATTCTGTCATCAACTAGTTTTGGCGATTTTACATGCGGTCGGGAGACGTAAAGGAAGTAATGCAATTCTTTTCAGGTTACAGGATTAACTGAGAAGCGTAATGAGGGTCCAGCTGCGAGTCGCGGCTGCACTCGCTCTGGTATCGGTACTCGTTTCGGACAGACAGCGGGAAGAGCTGATCAACATGTGAGGTAAATGTTTGCTAAGTCAGACCTGATTCGAAAAATGTGTTTCCATCTCCTTTTTGCGCATTAACTCTTTTTCTAAAAACCCAAAAACCACCTCAAGCGAGCATATCAACTTTGATGCGAATTAGAGGAAATTTCTTCGAATCAAGCCGTTTCCATTCACCTTTTCTGATGCAATAAATCAAAATGCGCATTAAAAACCTTGATGGGAACACGGCTAGTGATGTCATTGAGAATCCTCTGTGTGGGACTTACCTGAAAGGGGATGGGCTTTGGATGGGTGGGACGAATGCCGTCGAGAGGAAGAAGAGGAGGAAGAGGACGAAGACGAGGAAGAAGGGCTTGAATCTACTTTCAGACCCAGTTCATCTTTAAGTGAGCTGAACAGCTCCTCGTGCCGCTGTAGTTGTTGTTCCTCTAATAAATTCATTTTGGCCCTGCTTCCCGTAGCTCCTGCTGCCACCTGCCCCTGGACGTTCTGCCCCGACCCCACAACAAGGCCTGTCGCCTGACCGCTTGGTCCGTGGCTGCCCCTCGACCAGTCCATGGAGCTCCGGGACTTTTTTGAGCCCTGATGTGGAACCGTTGTAGAGTTTGACGTTGACGTGGTGACGATGGGGGCCTGCATGGAAGCCAAGGATGAAGACGAGCCATTCCCCATTGTTTTGTCCCCACCTCCCTCTGCTCCTCCACCCACTCCTCCTCTCAGAGCCTCACTGAACAGCTGGGGGTCCATGGCAGGCCTCTCTGCAGCTGAGGAGCCCAGTGGTTGCTGCTGGTTGTTGGTTGTAGTGCTGCCTTTGGGGATTCCCACTAAGTGGCTCTGGTTGGAGTGGCTGGTTAACAGGTCCTTCATTTCTTCATAGGAGCCCAGCGTGTTCTGGACACGACTGGCCAAAGCATCACCTTTATTAGTCTGACAAGAGAAAAAGGAAGAGAAAAAAAGACAAGGGGAAGGAACAGAAGAAAATTGATTAAGTCTTCCGTTCAGATCTGATGCAAAGCCGTCTTTACTGGAGACGGATAGTGGGAGATGGAAATGGTAACTACTGACCAGACATCCAAGAGAATAACTAGAGAAATGAATGTTTAATGTTGAAGAGTTGTGCAGAAAAAAGAAAGGATGTTTTAAAATGTTGCTGTTTGATTGATTGATTGTTTGATTGATTGATTGATTGATTGATTGATTGATTGATTGTGCCTTTATTGTCATTGTACTCGAGCACCACTAAATTACATTAAAGAACACCCATTCAAGAGGACACACACGACAAAAACATGGAGGAACAGGTGATCAGGGTCCTCATGTATAAACGGTGCGCCAGGTTCTACGCCCACGTTGTGATGTATCAAAACCAACGTTGCATGAAAGTGTGCGCATATTTACGCACACTTTTCACCTGTCGTGAGAATGTGCGGCAGCCACGCAAAGTTTTTCAGTCGACAGTTTTAACTCACAAAATCATGAATCTGACCTGAATCCAGAGAAATATGACTTTGTTCTGTTTTCTGGATGTAAGGTGTCTGAACACGCTGTTAGAGTTTTATTTTAGTTTGAGTTTTTATTGTTTAAACTCGAACGATCATGAAACTGAATCCAGGGACTGAAAATCATTTAACCTCAGACAAGAAAATAGATCAGCCTAAAACTGATCAAAGAACCTCAGTCCAGTCTGTAAACTGTAAAGTTTTTACATTGTTGTCACGTAGTTGGAAACACAAGCAGAGCGCAGGCCTGAGAGGCGCACACACAGCTGAGGAAAATAAAATGTGTGAATTATCTAAGAAACATTTTAATTCTCACTGAGAGAAAAACTTTGTCAACTCAGCAGATTAATTCAAAACAGTTCAGCTGTGATGATTCTTCAGCTCCACAAGATGCAGACAATAGATTTGTTGCTGAGTAAAGTTGTGCGTAATTTATGGATCAATGTTCTGCAGGCTGATATCATCACAAGAAGAATTGAGGACAGTGTGTGGTTTTTTTTGTTTGTTTATTTGTATCACACCAAAAAAAATTCAATCAGGTATTTTACTGTAGTTCTGAGTCGCGTCATGAAGCTGATTTGAATAAGAGACTTCATAATTCTAAAATATAAATTCTACACGGCGGCAGAAACTTGTGGTGCCGTGACTCGTTCCTTCACATCAACTATTTAATAAATATTTTTCTAAGTTCTACAAAAGTCATAAGTTTCTCTGTGTTTACAGTCATTTATTAAAGACGTGAAAAGGTGGAAATGTCTCTCAGCCTCATGCACCGCTGAAAATAACAGCACATGCGCGTACACACCAACACCCACACACACCTTTGAGTGTGGCAAACTTATTTTTACACTCCACTGACAAATTTCTCACTCATTCTCCATTTAATGTATAATTTTCCTGCATCTAAAAATCATTTGTGATCCCACAGAGAGGATAATCTGAGGAGAATCTCACACACATTTACATCTATTTTACAGATTTAAATGGAGGTGTGTCAGGGGAGGAGTCTCAGGTGAGCTCAGTTCCACGGTCGTTGGGATGTATAAAGGAAAGTTGCACAGGAACCTGCGTGCGCACAGTTTTATACATCTGAATTTTTTGGTGCGGCGCACTTTTCTAAATTTGTCTGTACGTCAACTTTTAGTGTGAAAGCTGCGCAATCCTTTATGCGTGAGGCCCCAGGTCATGTGCAACCAGCAGGGGTCACGTTATCTTTAAAAAGAAAACAAAAAAACACAGAAGATTAGATGAGAAAAGTAAAAAAAAAGAAAAAAACATCATATTATATCAACAAAATCTGATACACTGTGGTGTTAAAAAAAACTCTAAAAGCAAGAGCACATTTATTAGCCGGAGGAGTAAGTGAGTTTAGAGGTAATAAGTCCAAAGAACCCAGCCTCCAAAAAAGGAAAACCCATAGTTCGGCCAAAATTCAGAATATTGGTATTAAATTGTTCATTCTGTGCAGCTCCAGGTTGACCTTCAGGGTATCATATTAGATGGAGTGAGAGGGGGAGAGGTGGGGGAGGAGCCACAGTCGACGTAAACACCCGGGAGAAATTAGATCCACAGCCTTCAAGGTCAATGTGGGGGGCAGAAACAATCTGTAATCAGTTGTTTGGGAACAGAGAAAATGTTTTCGGTCAGGCAAATAATAATTTTCCAATTGCCTTAATGTCCACTGGTACATCTCAAGGTGGCAAATCCAATCAGACATGTTGACAATTCTGCTGAGCTGAGCTCTCAGCTTCTCCAAGATCAATTCCATCTGGCCAGTAAAGTCCAGGAACACAACCGGCCCGCGAACCTCAGCAGAACTGCTTGCAGACCAAGTCCCAACTAGCTCAAGGCTAAAGTCTGAGTGCTGAAAGCACGGCAATCCTTCATAATGGTCAGGCAGCCAGGAAATGGCCTGAATAGCCACCGATGTTGTTTTGTGGAACACCAGGAGACCACCAAGCCAATCTGTTGAATCCAGTGATCAAAATCCAAATATATATCCAGCTAGTTGAACAGAACAGAACAGAGGTCCCACCTTTGACATGTCCTCCCATGGAAAAAAAATTGTTCCAAAAATTTATTAAGAGACCAGCTAACCAAATCCATAAAAATAAATCCATAATTTTATGTTTTGGATGAAAATGTAGTGGAGGCTCCAAGCCTCTTCTACATTTAATTGTTGTAATTGTTTTACAACAATTTGTTGTAAAACAGTGGTGTCCTAAGTCAGTCCTCAAGGGCCGGTGTCTTGCATGTTTTAGGTGCTGCCTTCAACACAACTGAACCTAAGTAGTGCTTAATTACCTCCTCAGTATGCCATCAGAGGCTTACTAATTAGGCACTCCTTAGGTTCAGCTGTGTTGAACCAGGGCAGCTCCTAAGACATGCAGGACACTGGCCCTTGAGGACTGACTTTGGACACCACTGTTGTAAAACATCCCAAACAAAAAATAAAAACTGAAATTAGCGGACAAGTAGCAAATATGTAACTGAGAAAGCTGAATTTAGCAGTAAGAAGCAAAAAAAGCACAAGTTTGCTAAATTAAGCAGCTGAAAGAAGTAACTAAACTTATCACAAAAAGCTGAATTTAGCTGAAAATGGCTAAAATGAGCTGAAATAGCAGAAAACAAATGAAAGAAGCAAAAAGAAAACTTTAATTAGCAGAATGAAGCTGAAAGAAGCAAAAAAGGTAAAATAATAACTGAAAAGCACAGGAAAACGTATATTAGCAAAAAATATGCTGGTAATAGCTAAAATAAGCACAAAGAAGTGGAAACAGATGTAAAGTGTAAGGTGCAGGAAAGGTTTAACAAATTTTTAAAGATTTTAAGGATGTTGACGACAGCTCCATTAATTTTTTTAATGAAAACAAAAGTGGCCAAATATGCTAAACATCTTAAAAACTATGAACTGCAGAAATACAAGAATTTATAGAGTATATTGAAGGAGTTGAACGTTTTGATATATAAGTTGTTGAAATACTGTAGTACAAAAACTGTGGAATGTATCATGAGCTAAAAACATACTGAAAAAAGATAAATTGTCTCAATAAACACAAGTTATCTCTAAGAGGGTCCAGTCCTGACTGAAGCAGCAAAATTAAAGCAGCAAATATCACTATTATCTGACCTGACTTCATTAACTAATCACTGTTTAGAGCAGTTTCCCAAAGTTGGGGTTGGGACCCAAAGTCGGGTCCCAAAACTTCAAGGTGGGGTCCTGAAAAGATTTTCTGAATTAATTACATTTTTACCTTAGTTGTTACAAAGGAGTGAGGTTAGTGTATTTAAAATGGATTCATGTAGTATAAAAATATTGTTACTATGCCCGTGTTTAGTTGACCTGATACAAATGTTTATCATCCAAAAATCTCCAGGATTCAATTCAAAGTGTATGTTACCCCCCTGTGAAAAGATAACTCCGCCCCAAGGTGAAATTTGAAAAATGCATCAAAGTGGGTAGGGGAGGGTGTGTGGGTGGGGAAGGGGTGGGGGTTAGAGAGCGGAGGTGTGGCCAGGACGAGAGAACATGACAGGCAGCTAGCATTAGCATAATTGATGCTACATGGAGAGTGACCACAGTATCGCAGATAGTTACATCTCTGAACGTCTGAGGTGGAGGACTTTTCACCCCCTTCCTCACCAGAGGCAGAGAGAGACTTGATCAAGTCAGCTCAGTCTGGTACTGACTCGTGTTGGCTGCGTGGATCAGGACATGGCACGCTTTACCGCAGTCTCGGCTGAGCTCTGTTCGCCTCACACCAAACCAGCCTCAGACAGAGGAGGAGGAGCCCTCCGACAGCCTGACAGAAAAAAATAAAAGCATACAGCTGCAGCTGCTCACAAGATCACTAGTTTAAAWCAGGAATAAAASTRTTGGGTCTTGTTTGACTGAAGTTCGGTCCGTTAGGGCTGCAGCTGCCCTGCTGCCTTTTCTTCCCTCCTCCCCTCCCGCTGTGCAGGACGTACTGCTGGTGTGTGTGTGTGTGTGTGGGGGGGAGGGGGGGGGAGACAGAGAGAAAGAGAGAAGCACAGCAGTCACCTCTCCCCACCCGAGGCTGAAGGTCAACAGACGATCATGCTAAGCTTGCTAACAGCTCCACCCTCTGACTGCTGCAGGGGCGTGTCTTAGAGAGAGGCTTTTATACCAGAACACAGCCGCTGTGACGAAACCGTGGAGAAGACACGTCACCGTGGAGAGCCGTTAACCAATATGCAAATTAGCCTGCAGTACAGTACCACTGCTCTACCCATATGAGCAGCAAAAAGACGTTTTTTAGACCAAATATTACAGATTTAAACAAATACGCACAAAAACATCAAAATTAGCACAGAAACAGTACTATATAACGTCCTGATGCATCTCAGTAATCC